AAAAAAAAAAAAAGTTTCTTTGTCGCTTGAAAAATTACCGACATGTATAATACGTTGAATTAGAGAATATGACTCAAAAAATAGTTTAATTGATTGTAAAAATACTTTTACATAGATCCACTATCCATGTTGTTGTGCTTGCTCTCTAAGTGGACGCCATCATGTAGGACCGACCATGCCACTTGCGACTCATGAAATGCCACACAAAATTCGATCTCCACATATGCTTGTTGTAGAATGTACCACACATAGGAACCAACAATAGAACCACCCTTATCATATAGATGTAGGCTTGCATAGGCCAGACTCCCTAAATTGCATAGACCCGAATGGGTCTGCAGCAATTCCATTTGGCCCTTGGTTTCGCCAACTTCATGGCCGAATGAACGAAGGATTAACATAGTGCCTTGGTATGACCTTAGGCTATTTGCTCCCCAACAATCGTGATAGTGCCACTAGGGTTCCCATAGGATCTTCTGAAGAGGGACAACAAATCTTTTGACACTATAGTATTTCGTAGTAGGCATTTCTCTAAGAAGAACTTTGTATTCTAACAGATTCCTAGTGTGCACGTAACATATATATGAACGGAGAGATGATATAGATCTATTGACACCTAGGTAGATCAATATTTGTCAATAACCATTTTGTGCACTATAAAATAATGTAATTTTAATTGAATATAATAACAACAATAATTAACATGCGTTAGTAATTAAACTTGGGAATTGTGTAATTAACTTGTCAAGCTGGATCCACTAGTTATATTGGTAGTTTTTGTCATTACATGTTTCTGTCATATATGAAGACTAGGACATCAATTGGACAATTAACATGATACTTTCTTTTGTTTTCACACGGATTAAGAAAGTTTCTTTAATGTCACTGAAAAATTAATTTTTGCCAAAATCTTTCCTAGTTTACCCCTATTAAATTTTCAGTATGTAAAATTAAATTATTGTTGGAATTGATAAAGAATTTGCAGAAGAAGAAGAAATGAGAGTTGTTCCATATTTTCAAAAAGTGAGAAATGTGTGTATTTGGATGATTTCAAGAATTTGGCATATTAAGTGGGGGAAATTTAATAAGGGTATATTGGTAAAAA